GGAGGGCAGGGGGCAACTACCACCTCACTTTTACACACAAGGGGGCAGGGAGAGCTGTCTGGGAGAAGGAAGTGAGAGGGTGTTAATCCTGGGGGGTCCTTGTCCAGCAGTGCCAAGGGCAGGCAGCACAAACTGCCCTTTCATGGAACCATTCAAAGAGTCTCCTGTCTGGGGGACTTGGCTGCTCAAGCTGGGAGAAGGCAAGGGGGGGGGCGGGTGGAGAAGGGACATTTGCAGGCAGACTGCTGTACACTTAGCAAAACTATGAAATCAGTTCAAAGCTAGGGGAAGAGACAAACATTTGTACCTACTCTGTGCCAGCTATTTGATCTCCCTTGTCTTACAACAATTAACCCTTTTGGCAAAGGAGAAAAAGAAGCCCCCCCCCCGCCCCAAGACTTCCCTAAATTCACACAGCTAGAAGAAGAGCTGGGATCTGGAGCGTGGAGTTTCTCCCCATCAGTTGCTTCTAACCAACCTCTTTCTCTCTGAACTTTTCTTTCTTCCTCACCTTGGATCCCCCTTTGGAAGGAGAGCCTGCCCCACCCCCCTCTTTTCTTCCTTCCCTTGCTCACTTGACCCTTCCCAGGAGGTGCCTGATTGGCCTGTTCCCCCTGTGGTCTGAATGGCAGAGGGTCCCACAGCCAAGAGAATATTTGCATATGAAGTGGGTTGCCCCTGGTGAAATCAAAGATGATTTCAAAGGAATGAAGTGCTAAGGGGACAGTCTTTTTGGCTAAGGGTTTGGGGGCATGGCTCAGATGGATCCCCAGAGAGAACTACTGTCTCCGTGTTCCTTATGGAGCATGAATTTTCAGATGGAGCATAAAGTAATGACGATTACACCTCTTGCTCATCTGCTTGTCACCTTATGGAGGAGGAGGGCAGCAGTTACTTCCCCCACGTGTAAGAGGCCGGCCACTTGGCTAGTCTCTGTTTCCAAGGTTTCGCCTGGCTACAGGCTGGGGTTTTCTAGCAAACTGCTGGGAGAGGAAACCAGCTCTAGGAATAAGGGAGGCTCTTGAGTTTACATAACTTTCGGAGCCCTGGACCCAGGCTGAGAATGTGTTGATTCTGGCCACTAGTGGGGCAGCCAGCTGGGGCAGAAGAGTTGGCTCAAAAACTCCGTTCCTGCGGGGGGAGAGTGTGACTGTCTTTTGTTTTCTCTACTTCTGTTGTAGGCTCTCTTCCTGCTCTTCCCTTGATAAAGTCCTGACCTTTTAACTTCCTACCCCCAGTTCTGATGACAGACCCCTGAATCCAACTGAAGGGTCCTTGGCATCTCACTGTCCAAGTTGAGTTTCTGTCTTGTTCATTCCACTTCCAAGATAATGAGCTTTCCTCTTCTCTCATTCCTGCAGCCACTGTCCTAGTTAAGTATACCTTTGCCTTTTACCTGACTGATACACTGCCTCTTTACTGTCTTCCTGCCTGGAGTCTGGTGTCTACCAGTCCATCTATACAGGATACTGGAGTTCCGTAACTTCTGACAGCTTCCCCCCTCCTTTTTTTTTTTTTTCTTAAGATTTTATTTACTGGGGCGCCTGGGTGGCTCAGTTGGTTAAACGGCTGCCTTTGGCTCAGGGTCCTGCGATCGAGTCCTGCATGGGGCTACTTGCTCAGCGGGGAGCCTGCTTCTCCCTCTCCCTCTGCCTGTTGCTCCCCTGCTTGTACTCTCTCAAATAAATAAAATTTTTTAAAAAATGATTTTATTTGAGAGAGCGAGAGAGAGAGGACTCACACATGAACAGGGGAGAGGGGCAGAGGGAGAAGCAGGCTCCCACTGAGCAGGGAACCTGACACTGGACTCGATCCCAGGACCCTGGGATCATGACCTGAGCCAAAGATAGATGCTTAACCTACTGGGCCACCCAGGCGCCCCAAACAACTCCCCATTCTCGCCACTCAAGGCCTTTATGTCCTGCCTCCTGCTGACTCTGCCCGCTTCTACTCCAGCCATACTAATGACACTAATCCAGTTCTCAGGCTGACTTGCAAGAATGCTGGACTTGTGTATGCTGTCCCCTCTACCTGCAATGTATTTTATTTCCCTTCCTTCTACACCTCCACCTTGTGATGATGCTTCAAAGCTCAATTCAAATGATACCTCTTTCATGTAGCCTTCCCCTGACCTGTTTTCAAAGAGGTTTAGTTGTCCCCTTCCTCTTTACACAGTGTGGTCACTGTTTCTATTAACAGTCTGTCTAGACTATGAGCCCATTTGAAGGGCCTCATTTATCTCTGTCTCCAAAGTCCATTGGAAGACTGGTACAGAACAGGTGCTCAGGTTTGCTTAACCAGCAAATAAATGCTCCTAACCGCAGGTTTAGAAGAGGGTAAGACCAAGTCATTCATACCCAGCTCCTTTCATGACTTTGAGTACTCTCAATCTTGAGATTCTCCCCCCACCAATAGATCTATGGCTATCCCCAAATTTGCCTACTTTCTTTTTTCAGGACATTCTCCTTGGACATTCTTTAGTGCACGTGTGTGACAGAATGGCCTTTGATTTGACCCAAATATGCTCCTTCTGGCTCTGTAGCAAATCCCGCAGGGAGGGTCCGGGGTCTCCTCCATTCTCTTGCTGAGTTCATAGTGCTGATCTCTAGGTTTCACAAGGATGTTGGGATGGCCAGCACATAGCAGGTGCTCATTAAAGATATGCTATGTGAAAAGGGACAGGCGGGGCTGGGTAGGGAAAGACAGGTAGGGGGCTATGGGATCAGGCTCACAAAAATCACAAAGATGCAGAGGTGAAAGGAAACTAGGGATAAAGGAACAAACCAGACCACCCTGCCCTAGGCGTCAGAGGTGGGGGTCTTGTTATAACAGCTACTTGTGACCAGCAAAGAATTACTGGACCCTAAAAAAAAAGGTAAGCCATTAAAGGTGTTATCCCTAGTCCTTACTCAATGGTGCTATCAATAGAGATGTTGAAAGGATTTACGTTTCCTGGTTAGCCTTCAATAAAAGACCAACCCTAAAAGCCCCCAGTGGCAACCCTGTCGGGACCCCTGTCACTCCTGAGAGCTTTTTTCCTGTACCCTTGCTTAATAAAAACTCTATCGCTTTACTCAGTCTTCTTTGTCCGCGAGATTCATTCTTGGACTCTGTGAGACAAGAACCTAGCTCTCCTGCTTCACCTGCTGGGGTACAACGGAACACTCAGTAGACAAAGATGCTGCCACCTCCTAGCCATGGCTGTGGGCTAGTCATTTCACATCTCTGAGTTTCAGTTTCCTTACCTTTAAAGTGGAGATAATAATGCCTATACTTCACAAGGATACAAAGATAAAGGAGATGTTAAGTGACTAGCACAGAACCTAACCCAAAGCTCAACGTATCATTCATTCTCAGTCTCCACCCATCAAGCTTGAAGAAGCCTTAAGTCCCTGGTCATCAACCTCTTGCTATTTTAAGAACGGTGTCTAGACCAAAATGACCTCTGTTCAGGGTCCCCTGTATTGTCCAGGAGGAAGTGTGGAGAGGAAACCACCTAGGTTTTACTTCTGACACCACCACTCCAGGGCTGTATGAATTTGGACCTGTCTGCCTACTTGTAAAAGGAACATAACATGACTTACATCATAGAGATGCTGTGAGGATTAAATGAGATGTGTATAAAGTAAATTAGATGACACTCAAAATCTGATGACTGCTATGACTTGCCTGGTGAACGGAAGTGCTGTATTTCCTGAAAACCATGCGTGTGATTATGCTGCCCCCCTGTGGACAGAGAGCACACAGCCCAGTAAAGGGACCCTCCCCCCCCACCTCCTCACCCCCACCCCAACAGCTTGATGGGAGAAATCACATGACACACAAGGCAATTTTCTTCTCTGCTAGGGAGCTCATGCTTTACCCTGAAATATAGGGAACATCTAAACCAGAACTTTTCAGAATTAATGTGCTTATTGGAACGCAGATCAGTTCTGACTCAATAGGTCTGGGGTGGAGACAAAATCTTTAACAAGATTCCAGATGATACTGATGCTACTGGTCCACAGACCACTCTTGAGTAAAGGTCTTAAGTACGATATAGCAGTGACATGACATGAACTATTTACTAAGTGCTTTACCCTATGCCGGTTATTGAGAAAGCCAGTTAACCTATATTAACTTATATAGTCCTCAAGACCGTGTGAGGGAGATACTGTTGGATCATTTTTCAGAGGAGGAAACTGCAGCACAAAGAGAGAAAGTACACGGCAATCCCATACAGCTTGTAAGGTGTGGGCCTTGGGTTCTAATTTAGGCAGCCTGGCTCCACAGCCTAATAGGAAGAAGACTCCAACAGTGTGTAGAGCATGACCAAGGGAGGGGCTAGGGTAGGAAACCAGCAGGGGTCCTGAGTGATCTAGCTGAAAGATGAGGCCTAAGCTATGGCAGGTGCTGTGGGATGGGAAACAGGGGACGTAAAAAAGAGCATGGGGAGGGGTTTGGTGGTAAGCTGGATACAGGTGTGAGAGAGGGAGCCATGTAGAGAGTTCAGCCTGTCTGGTTTGGACAACAGAGAGATAGTGGTACCTACCACTTACTGAGGAAGGAAACACGGGAGGAAGAACAAGTTTTAGGGGGAAGGTGAGTTCAGTTTTAGGAATGGTCAATATGAGTGGCTTTTGGTCATCTGGGGGAGATAGGAGGCATCTAGAGCTCAGGAGATGATCTGGGTAATGGGCAAGGTTCTGGTGTTGGCAGATGTGAAGCCATGAGTGTTGGAACTCACATAAACCGTGCATAGACTGTCCCTGTTCTGGGCCAAAGTTGACAAAGCACATAACTGGAAGAATGGGCCTGGAATCCAGGTCTCCCTGGCTGCAGTGGAGGCTGGCTCTGCCCATTCCATTGCGCATTCTGGATGTGAGGAGCAGGCAGAGCACAAGATGCTGATGGGCTCAGGAAAGGGGTTTCTGGAGACCTATGGTGACTAAATCCAACAAACTGTCCCGTTCCCATATCGGCAGAAATAAGGACAACTCCCTGGAGAAAGACAAGATCGATAAAGGTTGGGAGATATTTATTCTCTTTAAACAAGGTCATAAGTAACAAAGAAACAAAGTAGGTCCCAGACTCTGGACCGTGCAGCAGGACAGGGATAGGAAGTTGTTGGGTGGAAAGGTGGAGGGGACTATGCATCACCTAAGACAGTCACAGAAAAGATGGGCTGCAGGAGACCGGCCCTTCCCGCCCTTGGAGACGGCGTGCCTGGGCAGCAGGGGGAGGCCGCAGTGTTGGGAGGGGGCAGCTGGAAGAGGGCCTGGAGCGAGGGTGCTGGGCTGTGCTGTTTCTATGAAGAGTGACATGGAAACCACAAATGGTGAAGATAAGCTGTGGGTCTAGAAGAGGCAAGCGGGCACTCTGCACACCTCCAGGGACCAATTATGAAAATGGTTAAATTTGATTCTTAAAAACAACTCCACAGGCTTTAGCCTATGGCTTTGTGCATGGGCTGTCTTAAACCTGGGTTGCTCTGTGGCAGGTGAGGGCTCGAGAGGCCCCTGGAGCAGCCTGGCCTCAGCCCAGGGCAGGTGCCCAGACATGTGGGAGAGGAACAGTGGGCTCTCCCCAGATGGGAGGCCATGTGCTTGGACTGACTGGACCTGATTTTCAGGCTGGTTTCTTGTGACGCTATCCACCACCGCCTCCCTATTTCTAAGGATGGGATCCTGGCCTCTCTGGGTCTTCCAAGCCTGGAAGAGTAAGACTGGGATAAAAAGGTACCTGACTAGTATTTTATTTGAAAGGGGACAATAAGGACCACCCTGTGCATGGTCCATCCCATGAGGTAGGGCAGGACCACGCCAAGAACAATCTCAAGGAATGGAGGTCCCTGAGCCTGGAGAGACATTTGGACCCAGGTGCACTGCCTAATACCAGGAATAGGGGCCCAGGGTGGCAGTTCCGATGGAGGCTTCACCCTAGGCAAGGCAGGGAGAACAGGCAGGGGCTACCCCTGAACAGGGAAGGAGTGGGAGCTGGGGAGCCTTGGACTAAGGAGGCCGAGGCTGGTCGAAGGCCTTGGAAAACAACGCTTTTGGCAGGAATACACAAAAGGGTTTGTACATCTAGGGAAGCCCGTCTATAGGGAGCCGGTGTCACACGGTCGGGCGGGATGGTGAGGAGACAGCGGCATCACAGTGGCCTCTGGTGCGATGTAGTTACAACAGAGCTCAATGTTGGGGGCGGGAAGGACAGCAGGTTACTAACAGCCAGGAAACACACTGTGAAGAGTGGAAAGAGAAGGGAAAACAAATGTGACCATTACTGGCTTTCCCCTGCTCACCCCTTCTCTTCCAGGAAGCCCGGGACCCTCACGACCACCAAGGCCCTTGCAGATCTGTCCAACCTTCCCACAGCCCCATCTAGGTCTAGACATGGGCTCTGCTCTCTGTGAACTGGTGATGTGACCAAATGGTCCAGGGGCTCCAAACACTACTATCAAGAAAAACTAAGTTTTCGCTTTTGATTCCTGGGATCCATCAACGATTAGTTGCTTGAGGGGTGGTTCAGCAGGAGGGGGTCACTCGTGTGGCTCACCATACCAGGCTCCTGTCATCACCGCCAATGCCTACCACCCTCCCCTCCCAGGTCCTGGCATTCAGAGTTCTCTAATGCAGAAACGATTTCTTTTCTTCAACACTTCTTCTTCCAATTCCTGAGGGCAGGGAACCAGTTCCCCTGGACCTTCACCAAAATCAGACAGGAGACTTTCCAACTGGCAGGTATGACTCAGCAGGCTCGTGGGCTCTCTGAGGATCAGGGCATACTGCAGCACAGCCTAGGAGCTCCCTAAGGTGGGGCCAGGACTGTGTGGTTTGGGTAATCATGCCTCTCTTCCTCCTCCTCCTCAACAAAGAGTCTAACTGTGTCTCCCTAATCAGAAGAGCTTCCTAGGATGAGAGGCATCCTTTTCCCTTCAAACCAGTGTTTCTCAACTGTGAGTGATTTTGTCTCCCTCGAGACATTCGGTAACATCTTTAGATGGAGACGCCTTTTGCTTGTCACAACTTGTGTGTGTATGTGGGAGTGCATAGAGGCTAGGGATGCTGTCAAACATCCTACAATACACAGGACAGGCCCCCAAATGTCAACAGTGTTGAGGTCGAAAACCCTGCTCTGGATCTCCACACAGTTCCCATGGCCTGCCCAGCATTCCTCAGCAGCAGAGGAGGAGAAGGCATACAGAACTTCTCTAAGAGTCTGGAAAAAGACTGATTCCCATCCTAGTCTCCTCAGAGAAGGAGGCACCTCAAGAAGTGGGGGGATTTCTTTAAGAAGTGGGGTGGAATGGGGACTAGGCACAATTTAATCTCAGCTCAGCAACAACCCACTGGACCAAAGTATACAGAAACAATCAACCATGGGTTTGTAGAAACATACATGCTGGGCTCTGTGTTGAGGAGGAAGAAAAAAGGCATGGTGATCCAAACCAGGCAGGGCCAAGGCAGAGATATTTACAACGCTGCAAATATCTTTTTGTTGGAGTAGGTCAGCACTGCTGGGCTCCTTAAACCTTTGTTACTTCCTTACCACTGGAATCCACCGATGGGCTCTGCAAACCTGTGCCGGATCAGGAAAGTGGCAACAGCTTCAGCTACCTGGGAAAGGGGAGAGATATTCCAGACTAAATGATGTTAGCAATGGAGATCAGCTTTGGAGGTCCTGTGGGCTTCTACTGGAAGGTTAGGCTCTGTAGTGGACTCATGGATCTTACAGATCTGGGAAGCTTGAAACCTAAAGGACCTGAGTCCTCACAGGGCTAGAAGACTCCTCCCCACCAACCTTGCCAAAGATAGCTCCAGAGAAGTCAAGAGGAATGATGTGAAGGCTTATTTATTCCCTGAGAGTTAAAAAGCATCTTATTCTATAGGAGAGCATATTAACTTCTAACTGTGACTGTAGTTTAGGGAGTAGTTTCTATCCCAATTTTCCCTTCTTCCACCTGGTTTTGGGGAAAAGAGAGAAGTAGAGCTTAAGATTTTAACCAGAGGGCCCTGGGGTGAAATTGCAGGGTGCCAGTAGCTCCTCAGGCCATACACAGAAAGCCAAGACCATAGCAGTTGCCAGGGAGAGGTTTGGGGAGATGGTGGAGTCATATCTGAATAGGCCCCACAGTGGCCACTGCAGGCAACTCAGCCTGACTCAGAGGCTTGTACTATTTTCTGTGAAAGCCAAGGTGACTCTCACAGCTATTCTTTTACAGTCACACAGCACCAGACTCACCTTGTCTGGGGCATCCTCATGGACTGCGTGACCACACTGGGGTAGGACCTGCATCTGGAACTTTCCTGGAGAGGAAACAAATCCAGGTGACCTCAGGGACTAAAATGGCCCTCTCCTTACCACCTCTGTGGTCTCACAGACCACTCCAGGAGTCCAGGACCTTCCTATCTACTCCCCTCCCCAATAGTCTGGACCCAATTACCAAGGTTTGAGGAGGACGGTAATACTTGCAGCTATAACCTTGGGCAAATGATTTTCCCGTCATTTTTAACTTTGGTAACTATTTAGCATACATTTACTTTGGGCCAGACATAGGAAGAAACAGTTCCTGTTTTCAGGGGATTTATAGTCTAGTAGGAGAACACAAAAGACAACATTTTAATGTAGCATGTAGTTCTTATGATAAAACTGAGCACATGGAACTATAAGAACACAGGAAAGGAGGCTTCACAATCAAATAAGGATATAGGAAGGCTTCCCACACAGAAAAAAAAATAGCCTACACAAAGGAAAGGAGGATGAAATGGTATCTGTTCCTGGAAATAAAAAGTTGGCATGGAACTCTTGAGAGTTAACAATGAGGCTAAAGAGGAAAGCAGGGACCATACGATGAAGGGTTTTGTAAGCTATGTTAAGGATTTTGAAATTTATTATTACAATAATATGTTACCATTTGAGTGCTTAACTATATGCCAGACTGTACTAACCACTTTCTCACACTGCCTTGTAGAACACTGTAAGCTCACCATTAATGCGATAGCTATTAAGAGTGAAAAGAGATGACAGATAAAGCAAGATCCCTAAGCAAACTAAAGGATATGGGACCCACAGCTTCCCCTAAGTAGAGAGAGCAGACCCTCAGAGCCTAAGTGGCTCCATTTACAAAATAAGGCAGCATGCTCTGGAAGTCCTTCTGGTCATCACATTCCAGGATTCCTAACACAGTTACACAGTGCTTTAAAATTTCTTCAAAATACTCTTCTATCCATTTTTTAAGTTGATTCTCAAATCTACCCCATAAAATTGAACAGTATAAATACCGAAATTCTTTCCTGAGATGATGAAATTAATACCATGGTTAGTAAAGTGATTTACCCAAGGCTGCTTATTTAATTAGTAGAGGAACTAAGACCATTCCCATTCAGTAAGGCCCAGCTTATGCCCTTCCTCTTGCAGTAGTCTGCCCCTGGGTGCTCCAGCCTAGTCCAGCCTAGTTCCCCCTCTCTTGTATCTCTTAATGTACTACAGCTAACACATTTGGAGTCAAACACAGAGCAGCTTGTGCCCTGCTTGTTTTGTAAGCTTATATTTTATATGCCACTGGTGCCTGCCTCCCCAGGAGCATGTCATTTCTGTAAGAACAGGGCCTAATATCAACGGGGCCCAACATAGGGCTAGACATTGAGTAAGTGCTTAGTAAGTCTTGAATGGATAACTGAGTGAATAACCTGATAACAATTATAACTCCAACCACCCTGGGCTTGATGTCTAGGGATGAATTTTTTGTTCCTCTTTGGAAGAGTGGGTATAAAGAATCAGAGAGAACTCACACACACTAACAACACTGTGCCTGGTACACATAAAATGATTATGGGTAATCCTCACAATTATTCTATGAAGCGGGCATATTTTCAAACCCTTCTCTCTCATCTTACAGATAAAGAACCTTAGGTTCAGACAGCCTAAATTATTTACCTAGGTTGCATCATGAACGAGTGCTAGGTTTCTAGGAATCCGTAACTAATTCAGCAGGTTTAAACAGTGCTGGGAAGGCTATGGTTTGCAATCTATGCCCATTTGGCCATTTCCCTTTGTCTTATGGGATATCCCTCACTCCAGCCATTTACTTTCTATACTCATGGGATGCTCTGAAAGAGAAGGTAGTCTTGGCATAATCCTTACTGGGGAAATAGCAGGGCATCTAATGAGGAATCATGAGTACTTCCTGGATATAATGAAGCCATAATTTGTCAGACTCTTACTTCACACATATTTTCGCATTTAAACACCATACAAATGTACTGAGATATAGCATTATTTCTATTTTATAGATGAAGAAACTCAGGATTAAAGAAGTTAGCAATTCACTCAGGCCAGAACACTAGTAACAGTGACTCAAAGCCAGGACTGTTTGATTCCAAGGCTGGTGATCCACAATGGTTTCAAATGTTTTTTTTGTTTTTTTTTTTTAAAGATTTTATTTATTCATTTGAGACACAGAGATATATATATAGAGAGAGAGCATGAGCAGTGGGAGAAGCAGAGGGAGAGGGAGAAGCAGACTCCCCGCTGAGCCAGGAGCCCGATGTGGGGCTCGATCCCAGGACCCTGAGATCATGACCTGAGCCGAAGGCAGACGTTTAACCATCTGAGCCACCCAGGCGCCCCTCACAATGGTTTCAAATGTTATTCCAGTCCAGATCAACTGCTTTCAGATAGTCTCAGGGGCCATATCTGATTCTTTTGTCTATCCAGCATTAAGCATAGGTCTTACACAGAAAGACTGCTTAGGAAAGGTTTGCTTGAATTGAATTTAAGGAAAGATGTCTAAACTCAGAATTACCAACATCAGTGCCATAAAACTCACACTGTCCCAGTCCATGATCTTTCTCCAGGCTTCAGGATACTATGTAGTTGGAAGAGGAGGAGGGTAGGAGTGCCTGAGTCCAGAGTGTAATAAATCATTCAGAAGCCTTTGAACAACTATTGTGAAGAAATATAAGCCCCCTTTTCTATGGAGAGCCTGAGGACAGCTAAAAGAACAGTTTGAGACCATAAACATCCAAGTAGAAATGTCCAATAGGTTTTACACATGGGCCAGCTATGGAGCGCAGGAGAGAGGTATGAGTTGGACATTTAGCTTTGGGAGTTATCAGGGTGTAAATAAAAGCCATGAGATTGCCCAGAGAAAATAAGTAGAAAAAAACGGAGGTCAAGAACAGAATCTGCTTAAGCCTGAAACCTTGGTCTTGGAGTTAGCACCTCTTCTTCCCATAACCTAAAAGATACCAGTGCCTATTGACTTCGCCTTTACCAAGCCTTTCATCCATACTAAACCAAGAGCCTCCACTTCCATCTGGCCAACACACCTGAACCTGAGCACAATATGTTACTTTTCTACTCATTATACCTCATGATCCCTGTGAAGCTGCCATCAACTTTTTCATTTTATAGACTGAGAAAACTAAAGCTAAGGCAGGTCAAGTAACTTGCCTGGGGTCATCAAATGAGAAGGAAAGAAGTAGTACTCCCAACCTCAGAGTCTTTGCTTTTGCCACCTCACCATGCTGTCTTCTAAACATAGTTTACATCTTTTTGCATCCCAATTATCGTGGACCTTTCCCTTTCCTAAGAATTCCAACAATGATGAAAATATTGATCAGTATTCAGAATATCTCCTTCACAATATTATATATTTATAGGGTATTTTATGGTTTATAATGTACTCTGCATAGACACTGCCTCATTTTAATCCTTAAAACTCTGAGATGTGGATGGGAGTTAAGTCCCATTTTTAGATGGAGGAAAAAAAATTGAAGCTCAGAAAAGGGAAATATTTGGGTCAGGAGTGGATGTTGATGTCAAGTTTGGACTTAACTCTAAAGCTCATGCTCTTTCCATTGCACTTCACCATCTCAGAACATTAATTTCCACATGACTCTGCCCTCAGAGAAGAACCTAGGGACATAATTACTTTTCTTTTTTTTTTTTTTTAAAGATTTATTTACTTATTTGAGAGAGAGAGAGAGTGCATACGTGAGTATGAATGGGAAGAAGGACAGAGGGAGAGAGAGAGAAGCCCAGGCTGATTCCCCACTGAGTGTGGAGCCCGACATGGGGCTCAAACTCACGACCCCGAGATCATGAACTGAACCAAAATCACAAGTGGGACGCTTAAGTGACTGAGCCACCCAGGCACCCCTGGACATAATTTCTTGATTACTTACCTTGCATTTGGCCAATAGTCAGATCCTTATCCAATCTATCAACACCTAGAACAAAATAGGGAGAATCCAGAAGTAGCTTATTAGAAAAGGTTGTGTGAAACAGGTTTTGCTGTTCAAGTATGAAGTAAAAATTGTTACAAACTTGTAAACATGATGACATTCACAATTCACGTTAATGCCAATCCTAACTCCTTGAGGGTATATACTTACCACATGAAGCTTTCCAGAATGAGGGTCCCCTACAATCTTTTGGATCATTTAAACTGATTTCTGAAAACAGGGTTTTACTTTTTAAAATTTCCATTATACTCAGAATATCTTTACACCACTCTAGGAGAACTTAATGCTTAACCAGGGATTGAAGGCAGGCCAGAATTAGGTTTATCTCAGATAGATGCTTGTGCTTAGTTAGGATTAGGGATTTGGTGAGGGGAGAAGAGCACAAATGAGTGAGGATGGTACTTTATTTTGGAAGTTACTACCCATGTGGTGAGTAGTTTTTTTTGTTGTTGTTGTTTGTTTTAAAGATTTTATTTATTTATTTGAGAGAGTGAGTGAGTGACCAGGGGGGAGGGGGAAGGGCAGAGGGAGAGGGAGAAGCAGACTCCCTATGGGGCTTAATCCCAGGACTCTGGGATCATGACCTAAGCCGAAAGCAGATGCTTAAACGACTGAGCCACCCAGGTGCCCCCACGTGGTGAGTAGTTTTAACAAGGACATACTCAGATGATGATATACCTACACTGTTATGGACTGAATTGTATCCGCCCCCCCCATTCATATGTTAAAGGCCTAACCCACAGTGTGACCACATTTGGAGATATGGAAATAATTAAGTTAAAAAAAAGAAGAAGATAGTAGGAAGGAGAAAATGAAGCGGGGGGAATTGGAGGGGGAGACAAACCATGAGAGACTATGGACTCTGAGAAACAAACTGAGGGTTCTAGAGGGGAGGGGACTGGGGGGATGGGTTAGCCTGGTGATGGGTATTAAAGAGGGCAGGTATTGAATGGAGCACTGGGTGTTATATGCCAACAATGAATCATGGAACACTACATCAAAAACTAATGATGATGATTTGGTGATTAACATAAAATAAAAATAAAAAAAATTTTTAAAAAGAACATAATTTACAAGAAGTTATGTAAGACATAAAACATGAAAAAAAAAGATTAAATGTGGTCATATGGGTAGGGCCCTCATATGACAGGATTAGTGTCCTTTTAAGAATAAACACCAAAGAGTTTGCTTTCGCTCTCTCTTCTGCCATGAAAGGACACAGTGTCTGCAAGCCAGTAAGAAAGCTCCCACCAGAACTTCACTGTGCTAATACCCTGATCTCAGACTTCCAGCCTCCAGTACTGTGAGAAAATGAATTTGTTGTTTAAGCACCCAATCTATGATATTTTGTTATGGCAGCCTGAGCTAATACACACACATACACACTTACCAGCCAAGAGCAGCAATTTAGGAATAGGACAACTAAGAAAGAGATTGGATAAGCCTCGGAACCAGCCATCCCAGTATTTTTCTGTTTTCGCCAGTTCAATTCTCCAAGTGTACGGATGGTCCTTCTTGGTCTGGAGGAAAAAGAGAAAGTTCTGAGTCTCTGAGGGCAACCCCTGGAAGAACAGGACAAAAACTAGGTCCCTGGGAAAAGATAAGGGAAGGAAACTAGCACTTACTAAGGGGCTACTAGGTCTCAGATATTTTCATATACACTTAATTACTAAAACAGCTTTGTGATATAGGTTATTGTTGTAATTTTCATGTTTACATAACTAGAAGTTTACTTTTTACTTCTATTAATTTCAGTGAACTTAGAAGACTCTCTTTTTTTTTTTTTTTTAAAGATTTTATTTATTTATTTGACAGAGAGAGACACAACGAGAGAGGGAACACAAGCAGGGGGAGTGGGAGAGAGAGAAGCAGGCTTCCCGCAGAGCAGGGAGCCCGATGCGGGGCTCGATCCCAGGACTCTGGGATCATGACCTGAGCCGAAGGCAGACGTTTAACGACTGAGCCACCCAGGTGCCCCCTTAGAAGACTTTCTTAAGATCACAAAGCTAGTAAGTGGTAGAGCCAAGACTGAGCTTCTCTTATATCCATTTGACAAAAAGAACATATCCATCAAAAGGATAATTACAAAAGGCACAGTACAGTATGAAAAAAATACTTATAATATTAAGAGAAAGAAACAGAGTGTAACATGTCATCTAAGTGAGGATTACTACTGGAAAAATGTGGTACACATAGGGAAAGAACTGGAAGGGAAAACTGAAAATATGTTGATTTGTTGGTAGAGCATTTTTTCTTATATTTTGATTTATGATAATGGTATCATGTTCATGCAATAGTAATCTGAAAAAGGAAATCTGACACAAATATTACAAAATGTATCTGTTAAATCCTGATACACACTATACAGGCACAGAGTACGTACTCATCAAATACAAGATGAACAAATAAATGATTCTCTATACTTTTCTGCATCATTGAAAATTTGAAATATTATAACTGAAATAAATAATTGGGGATACTGCAGTAACCACAATATGAAAATCTAGAAGTGAACATGAGACAGCAACATATTGTGTTAGAGATCACTGATGGTTAAGATGTCCGTACTACCCAAAGTGATCTGCAGATTCAAAACAATCCCTATCAAAATCCAAATGACATTCTTGCAAAAATAGAAAAATTCATCAAAAGTTCATACGGAATCTCAAGGGACCTCAAACAGCCAAAACAATTTTTTAAAAGAATAAAATTGGAAGATGCATGCTCTCTAATTTCAAAATATATTACAAAGCTACAGTAATCAAAACAGTATGGTACTGGTATATACACTAGAGAACCCAGAAATAAACTCTCACAAAAATGGCCAAATGATCTTCAACAAGGGTCCAAGTTGACTCAATGGAGAAAGAACAGTCTTTTCAACAAATGGTATTGGGAAAATTGGATATCCACATGCAAAAAAGTTGGACAATACACAAGTTTAACACCTAAATATAAGATCTAAAACTATAAAACTTCTAAGAAAACATAGGGGAATGCTTCATATAGCTTTTCATGACGTTGAATTTGACAAGGATTTCTCGGTTATGACACCAAAAGCAAAGGCAACAAAAGCAAAAATAGACAAATGGACTACGTCAAACTTAAAAACTTCTGCGCCTCAAAGAACACAATCAACAAAGTGAAAAGGCACTGTATGGAATGGGAGAAAATATTTGCAAATCATATATATGATAAGGGGTCAATATTCAGAATATATAAAGAATTCCTACAACTCAGTAACAAAAAATCAAATAACCTGATTATAAAATGGGCAAAGGGCATGAACAGACATTTCTCCAAAGAAGAGAATGGCCAATAAGTACACAAAAAGATACTCAACTTCACTAACCATTAGGGAAATGCAAATCAAAACCACAATTAGATATCACTTTGTACCCATTAGGATGGCTATTTTCAAAAAAGACAAAATAACAAACACTGGCAAATATGTGGAGAAACTGGAACATTCGGGGCACTGTTGGTGGGATTATACAATAGTACAATCACTATGAAGACAGCATGGTAGTTACTCAAAAATTAAAAGTAAAACTACCATATGGTCCAGCAATCTTACTTCTGGGTATACAGCCAGAAGAAGTGAGAGCAGGGTCTTGAAGAGATATTTGCAGACCCATGTTCATAGCAGCATTATTGACAACAGTCAAGAGGTATAAACAATCCAAATATCTATCGATGGATGATTGGATAAACAAAATGTGTTATATACATATTATTTAGCCTTAAAGAAGGAAATCCTGACATATGCTACAACATAGAGGGAACTTGAAGACATTGTGTTAACTAAAATAAGCCAGTCACAAAAAGACAAACACTGATTCTACTTCTATGAGGTGTAAAAAAGATCACTGGATGGGTAGTCAGGAAACTTGGGTCTTCCAGTTCTCATTAAACAATGCATGTAGAACACTTATGAGCCACTTCTAATAGATTCCACAGTCGGAGACAGTAAGACCTTCCTAAACATACATTGTGCTTCATACGCAAATGACAAATTTAAAGTAAGGGAACTTCCAAGGATAGTAATATTATAAAAAGAAATTTTAAGGGGTGCCTGGGTGGCTCAGATGGTTAAGCATCTGCCTTCAGCTCAGGTCATGATCCTAGGGTCCTGGGATCGAGTCCCATGTCGGGCTCCCTGCTCAG